ACGTGCTGCATTAAAAGTGTCACTATATAATACTGTAATAAGTTGACAATGATGTGATTAATTGTGTCTGTGTTTTTTTTTTTTTTTGGTTGGGTAAAAACATGATCAAAGTTAATGATGTACTTTGATGATCATTAAGTTTCTGATGTTTAATTTGGTGGATGACGATGATGATGCAGTTATGGCAGCTAGAAACACTTCTTCTGCAAAAGGACACATATCTGAGCTACAGTCAAGCGCTGAGCTACACCAGCCAAGCTTTGAGCCAGAACCTTCAAGGTCTAAGGAAAAAGAGCCCAATCAGAAGGCTAAGCAAGGACTTTTTGTACTATGTGCAAGAAAATTGGAGAAGGCTTTGGGTGTTGTCGTTGTGGATTATGATTATGATAGGACTCTTCACGTGGAAGTTCTTTCAATACAAACAGAAAGCTGCTTTTCAGGTCATGGGTTATTGCCTCCTCACAGCAAAGGGAGCAGCAGAGACATTGAAGTTCAACATGGCTCTTATCCTCTTCCCCGTATGCAGAAACACCATTACTTGGCTTAGGTCCACCAGGATGGGTTACGTTGTGCCTTTTGACGATAATATCAACTTTCACAAGGTGTGTACTCGTTCATTGTCTCTATATTGTGGCTTGTTTGATACGTTTATCTTTAGGTCACAACACGTTTACATAATAACTTATTGTTTCTCTCATTCCGGCTGTGTGACCAAAAATGAGAGGAAAAATATATGCTTTGAAATTCTAGACAAATTTTCCTTTTGGAAGCCAAACTGAGACTAATGGGATCTCAAATTGAATGATTTCTTTTGTCCTCATGGACAATGTTACATTCCCTTGTTTGTAATTGGATTTGGATAGATGAAATTACCTGTCATGTTTGATTTCCTTGACTACATGCATAGAGCATCTAATTTTAACTTCCTTCTCTCCATTGCAGACAATAGCTGCAGCAATCATAATTGGAGTCATTCTCCATGCTGGTAACCATCTGGCATGTGATTTCCCGAGGCTTATTCAATCTTCTGATAAAAAATATGAACCTTTGATTAGTGACTTTGGAAGCCATAAACCTACATACATGGACCTAGTTAAAGGGCCAGAGGGAGTAACTGGAGTTCTTATGGTTATCCTCATGGCAATTGCATTCACACTGGCAACAAAATGGTTTAGGAGGAATCTCATTAAGTTACCCAAGCCCTTTGACAGAATCACCGGCTTCAATGCCTTTTGGTATTCACATCATCTATTTGTCATCGTATACATCTTGCTCATCATCCATGGCGTCTTCCTATATCTTGCACACAGATGGTACACTAAGACGGTACATATTTCAATGACTAATTGAAGATATCTTGACAGATGTGTACATGCCATTTCATTACATATGATGTAACTGTAAAGGTTCATGGAATTTCTGCTGCAGACGTGGATGTATCTTGCTGTTCCAGTTTTATTGTACGCGGGAGAAAGGATCCTGAGATTTTTTCGTTCTGGGTTCTATACAGTAAAGCTTTTGAAGGTAAGTCAGCATAAATCCTGTCTGCCCCTCTGATAATTGATTCAGCATACTACAAATTGCATATGTCCATGCTTAGGTTGCTTTACCTTATTTTAGTGCCTGTGCCAAATTTACTCCTATTTCCTATGTTTTGGACTTTTATTTTTTGCTTTTTTGACTGATGATCTTCTCATTGACTTGAATTGCATAGGTTGCAATTTATCCAGGAAATGTTCTCACAGTGCAAATGTCTAAGCCGCCTCAATTTCGTTATAAGAGCGGACAGTACATGTTTGTCCAATGCCCCAGGGTTTCTCCTTTTGAATGGTAAACTATAATAAAGTGCATTAAGCATTATTTTCTATTCTGTTTTTATTTCAGTTCATCAACTCTTCGACTTTTGTTTTTATTCAGGCATCCATTTTCCATTACCTCTGCTCCTGGGGATGACTATCTTAGTGTTCACATCCGTCAGCTAGGTGACTGGACCCAAGAGCTTAAAAGATTATTCTCAAAGATCTGTGAATCTCCTGTAGCTGGGAACAGTGGGCTTCTCAGGGCAGATGAGGAAACAAAGAAAAGGTACTCTTGTTCTGCCAACAGTTCTTATAATTCAGACCTTGTTTCGGAATCATTTAGTTAGTAATTGTTAATTAGAGTACTTCCATGTCTGCAAACAGTTTACCGAGGCTCAGAATTGATGGGCCTTATGGTGCCCCCGCTCAAGACTATAGCAAGTATGATGTCCTGCTTCTTGTTGGTCTTGGCATTGGTGCCACGCCATTCATCAGTATTTTAAAAGATCTGCTCAACAACATTGTTAAAATGGAGGAGCTGGCAGTATGTAACCTGTCCTAAGTGGTTAATGTTTCATTTCCTTCATGCTTTTCTTTCCTTGAGGTGTGGTACTTAATTTCGATCCAAATTCTGGAAACCATGCTTTTTCAACTACAGGATTCTGTATCAGATTTAAGTAGGACTTCAGACCTAGGTTCAGAAAGCAATGATTTCACCACTTCAAGACGAAGGAAAACACTCAAGACGACAAATGCATACTTCTACTGGGTAACCAGGGAGCAAGGTTCATTTGATTGGTTCAAAGGTGTCATGAATGAAATCGCAGACCTTGATAAAAGGGTAACAGATTTTATCATAATATATATATATATATATATATATTTTGCCCGTGAATTTGCTCTTAAATCCTCTAATTGTTAACTGGCAACTTTAAACTCTAGGGTGTCATTGAAATGCACAACTATTTGACTAGTGTCTACGAGGAAGGGGATGCACGTTCGGCTCTCATCACTATGGTTCAAGCGTTAAATCATGCTAAAAACGGGGTTGACATTGTTTCTGGCACTAGTGTATGAATTTTTTTCCATCTCAATTTTATTCTCTACTATATCCCATTTCTGTATTGTCCTGCTGCATTTCAAAATACTATTACATCCCAAATATCCTGTGGCATTAGACTAACCACTCCTTATCGCTTTCATCAGGTTAGGACCCATTTTGCAAGGCCTAAATGGAACAAGGTTCTTTCTAAGCTAAGTTCCAAGCATTGCAATGCAAGAATAGGTGAGTTCCTTCAGTCCTGGGTATTTCACAAGAAAAATAAATAGCCTTCTCTGCTGCCTCTTCTAATTTTTTTAATTGACATCAATCTCTGGGTATTTCACAGGAGTCTTCTATTGTGGAGCACCAATGTTGGCTAAAGAACTCAGCAAACTCTGCCAGGAGTTCAACCTCAACCAAAAAGGTTCTACCAAATTCGAATTCCACAAAGAACATTTCTAAAGAGACCTAGGGTGAGTAAATGTCTGTGCAACCAACAGACCCATATATACCTTTATCTACAAAATTACTCCTGGAATAAGCTCAAAGAGCACAGTCACTGTACAGTCTAGATTAAATAAAAAGGGGAATGAGAAAGAAGAACGGTATACGCATACAAAATATTTTTCTTTACTTCAGATGTATTTTATATGTACTGTTAATCACAACCACCAATGTAGTTATCCTAATTAAGAAGATGGCCTATCATCGTCCTTGTCAAGGAACATGGGAAACCATAAAGGTGACAAGTGGCATGTGACCCAGAACGTGACGTTGGGGAAGGTGAGGGAAAGTTGCTTAGTGCGGTACAGCTGCAATGGAGAAGTAGGAGAGCGGATTGGTTGTTAGATGATGATGATAATGACGATTATGAGGCCATGAACGATTGGAAGATATCCATAGGTGGGATTAGAAGATGACAGCATTGAAAAAGTAGAGAATGAAAGGAGGCAATGGTAGGGTAGATTTGTGGAATGTAGATGGGCATTTTGTCTTTTGAAGTTTCCCAATTTTCCTAGAAGGAATCTTTCTAGAATGAAAGGTTGCTGTGGCTGATAATCCAGCTGACGTATTATTGTTATCCAATTATATTCAGATTTTTTTTTTTTTTTGAAATTTTACAAAATTTAGTCAGGAATGCAAGGGTGTTATGTTGAATGTTACATGTAAGTGTTTCTTGATGTGCAAATGTGAATGGAAAAGTTTGATATTATTGATGGTTTTAAAATATTTTTTTTATTGTAACATGTATTATAAGTGCATAATTATTTTTTTTGACAAAAATAATAATTAGAAAATTAGTATGAATTAGATGTTAGTAACTGGTTCTCAAATCGGATAAACATTTCACCCCTTCAAATGAGGCACGCGGCCATCAAATTACTTTTTTGTGGAGTTCACGACGATGATGGTGGTGGAATTCGAAGTTTCGACCATCTCACCCAAACACTTAAGATTTGGGGTCGAACCATTAGGCATAAAGGCCGGTTCTATAAGTGCACAATTCGAATGTCAATTCTCAAGCTTTTTTTTTAATTTTTTTATTTGGAGTTCAAAATAAAAAGTAATAATACTATAAAATTTAAATCAACAATAATGTAAGTTTTTTTTTTTTAATTTGAAAAATTGCAATAAATCGATATAACTCGAAATTTTAACTCTCCTACTAGGTTTTGGGCCTTGCGAACCTCTCCGTGGGCAAGGTTGTGG